AATGACTACCATTCATATATAACTGGAAATTAACCAATCTTTTAGAAAGGCTTCCTGAGCTCTGGTGTCATTGACATTTGAGGTTAAACTCAGAGGATTATATAACAATAGTGCCACAGGGATCCCACTGCACACTAAGCTCAATACTTCCGTTTTACCAATGAATAACCAAAAGCTCTGGGAGGTTTTGAGTTTTGATCAAGACCTGCCAGCAGGGTCAGCATAGAGCTGAGGTTAGAGCCTGACGGCTGCCTCTGCTGCACCCTTCCTGCATGCACACCCCCTCGCACATAGGCCCCGGCTGCCCACGTCAGCCCTGGTCATGCTCTGAGCACTCCTAGCTGCCTGGTCCATCCGTAGTTAAATGTGCACAGTGGCAATTACGACGCTTTACGGGAACACTGTGTCTCCTTAGCACTTTTGGGAAAGTGAAAACTGCAAATTTAAAGCTAAAAAAGATACAATTAAATTATTACTAGGACATATTCTTATACTACAGGCATTTTTCCCAATAGACATTTTCTCCATATGCAATATTCCATGGCTTTGGTACTAACATGCATGAAGAACGAAAATAACCTGATGCCTTTACTAGAATAACAGCCAGAAACAAGTCATGCGATTATGCATATTGTTCACTTAAGGTAAAGATTCCTCTTACATCTATGGAAATCCCACGTATTCCTTGCTTTTTATTAAGTAGCAGTAAATTTTAACCATGTGTGTATGCATGTGTATAGCTCTAGCCTTATTCATCTATCCATCATCTAAACAACCTGGGGCAATTTTTCAAATCACACATGCTCGGTCATATTTCCTTTTTCCCACCTCCGGCTCCTCCCAACATAAACACAGGGAATCAGGATCTACTCACATGAGGACCTGACATATAAATTTTGAAGAAAGTCCTATATTCTACGCAACCAGCATAATGGATCATACAATAAGCTCATGTTTCTGTCTTTTTCAGGATTCCATGAAAATGGGCACATATTTGTACCTTTCTAGATTGTGTTTCAATGCATAGCAAAGGTTGTTAGTCAAGTGGCAGCTCTCGGTATCACACCTGGATGATGGCACAGCTAATATTCCCGGCTGTGCTGTGACCATAGTCCAGGCTACACCTGCTTTCCAGAGAAGCCTCTCTCAGTCTTGACTCCTCTGCATAATTCTCAGTTACAATTTCAGTGTGCAAGTCTTTCCTGAACTTTCTTTCTCCCCATTGCTATAGCTCCATCTACCTCTAATCCTACTGCAGTTTTCTTGTTATATCCCGTCCAGTTACAGGACACTGGTTGAGACCACCTCTCAGTTCCAACCTCGTTATCCCTAAGTCCTTTTTTGGGTCTTCTTTCTTTCTTTTCCTCCTTTCTGAATCCATTTTTATTTTTACACTGAAGAAATGACCTTATATCATTTATAGATGTAGGAAAGAAAGAAAAAATACAGACAAAAATATAGAACTGTTAATTTGTAAATATAATTTAGATTTTCCCATGTAGTCAAGACCTCTACTTGACCTGGAAAGCAGGAGATATCTGAATAACATTTCCATTAAGATGTTCTTTAGCACTCCAGATCCATGTAACAGAGACTTAGGATTAGCCTGATTACTCTAAATATGTTTATAGTAGAAGTCAATGCCTTAGTATATCACCTAGATAGTTTCCCCTCAGAATGTCATTAACTTTATTAGTACTTGGGCAAAATATTCAAAATTGTGGGAAGTCAGGGCAAAAATCATGCTTCAGGAAGTTGATGAGGGCGAAAATGTTGTCAAAAGCTTTAGAAATTAGGCTTATTTTTTTTCCCATATGCCACATATTTTCTTCTAAATTTGGAAGTTAGGAATTTTCTGAGATGAAAGTCTTGTTTTTGAAGGGAAAAAATAACCTGCTCCCAAGACTACCTTGATCTTTATTACCACACCCAATAAATCATTTTTCCTTCTGGCAGCTGAAATGTTTCATTTGCACTGTAGTGAAAGAAAGAATAGCCTGCTACACTTCCATCAGAGTGAACTATGTTTGGTAAAGAAAATAGTTTTAAGCAAATTCTGTGAAGTCTTTTCTTTCTTTAGTTCTAGCAAGCACTGTCAATAAGAGTCAAATCAACCGGTTCCAGGAATATTATAAATGTTTTGATTTAGAGTTCATAATCCTTTATTAAAGTTTCCAGTGAGAAGGGCAGAAATAGACTATGAAATTAATTTTATTAGAGAGAGAAAATGATTACAAATCACCTTATTTGTAAAGTTTGGGTAGGTTCAAGAATAGCATTATGAAATGATCATCTTCAAAAGGACTCTCACATTGTTAAGACAAGGAAATGGAGACCCAGAGAAGTTAATTGCATTTTATGTATTAACGGACTGAATTACTTTTCCCAGTTTTGCAATCAGACAACTTAATTATCAGTGGTGGTAGCAGTAAGGGTGGAAGGAAGAAGCATCAATTTGGTGATGTTTACCAGCCTTAGTTTTCCTTTACATAATAGTATTTTTGGGGAGCATTTCACAACCACTCTTACTTTCACTGAGATACAGAAATAAAGGTTGAGACGGATTTTCTCCTCCTTAGCTATTTTTGTGAGAAAAGTCATGAGGACACTGCATGGCTAGTATTTCTGTGTTGCATTCTGGGGTTTCAAATATCCATTGCATTCCAGGTCTCCCATTATCTGTTACCCTAGAAATTTGAGAGTTGGCCATTCCGGGCTAGGTGCCTTAAGGAAATTGCTTAGAGGTCAACCTTGCTTTATAGAAAAGATATTTTCCTGAAAAATTCTGTGCAAACACATGGTTTTAATCAATAAAATCTTACTTTACATTGTACCTGGGAAGCCTGTTTAAAGAATCTTATGATGGATCTTTTTGCAAAGTGGAAAAATCACCTTTCAACATACCCTTTATGTAAATTTAGATGTTCATGAATTATACGTTTGCTTAAAACACCTGTCCACTTTTCTGTTCATTTCCATAGAGGTTATATGAAACAAATTCCTGGAAAACTCCTCTTTTCTCTTCTTTCCATTCTTTCATTTAAAGAAAATATTTATTACGCATCTACTATGTATCAGATATTGTCATAACACTTGATATAAATTGATATTATGTTGTGATATGAAACCACACACTATCCTCATAAAATTCACATTCTAATCAAGGAAAGTCATGACACAAGTGTAAATATGTAACTGCCAATTGTGAAAAGTGCCAGGAAGGACACTAGGGAGGCAGTAACAAGTAATTGACTGACTGGGGAAGGACTCCATGAAGAAATGGCATTTAAGCTGAGAATATGAGTGAAGGTTTCCAGACAAGTGAAGAGTGGAAGAAAAGCCTTGCAGGTGGAAAGATAGCACATGCCAAGGACATGGGATGGGGAGGCCTGGTGCAAACCAAGTGGTGAAAGAGGGCCCAGGTGGCTGAGGCCAGGAGAGGAGAGGTGAGATGCTGCCAGGATGTGGGCAGAACAGCCACAGAGCACAGGTCTGAGGGAAGCCAGGGTTTTGGTCTAAGAGAGAGAGAGGACAGTCATTGTTTACTCAGTGAAGACAGAGAAGTTGGGTGAAGAAACTGACAGATTTTAAGAGTTGTGGAGAAATCAAGTCATTCTGAGCAGAAGTGATATGATAAGCATTTTAAAAAGACTATCCTGATTAGTGAAGTAAATGACAAAAGCAGAACAATCAATAAAATCAGTAAAGCTGACTGGGGACAACTGCAGGAGTGTGGGTGAGAGATGATGGTGGCTTGGACCAGAGAAGAAGTGTGGTGAGAGATGACGGCTTGGATGGGAAAAGCAGCCATTGAAAAGAGAGAGTGATTTGAAAGTGGTGAATCTGTAGAGACACATCAAAAGTCCAGTTTATCAAAAATCACACTACAACAAAGATATTTGTACAAGAATTTACTGCAGCCCAATTCCTAATTGCTAGGTCATGGAAGAAGCCCAAGTGCCCCTCCACCCACAAATGGATTAATAAATTGTGGTATATTTACACCATGGAATACTATGCAGCTCTAAAGAAAGATGGAGACTTTACCTCTTTCATGTTTACATAAATGGAGCTGGAAAATATTCTTCTTAGCAAAGTATCACAAGAATGGAAGAAAAAGTATCCAATATACTCAGCCCTACTATGAAACTAATTTATAGCTTTCATAGAAAAGCTATAACTCAATTATAGCCCAAGAATATGGGGAATGGGGAGGAGAAGGGGGAGGATGTGTGGAGGGAGGGTGATTGGCGGGATCACGCCTATGGTTCATCTTATAAGGGTACATGTGAATCTTTCTAAATGTAGAATATAAATGTCTTAACACAATTACTAAGAAAATGACATGAAGGCTATGTTAACCAGTTAGATGAAAATATTTCAAATTGTATATAAAAACAGCATACTGTACCCCATGACTACATTAATGTACACAGCTATGATTTAATAAAAAAAAAAAGAAAGTCTAGTTTACATCAAGATTATTTC